TTTTCTTGGCCTTTAAGGCCTTATTATACTTTAAAATAAACTTTATATAAATTATTACTATAATTATATTAATAAAAGTCTTTAAGAAATTTTTTAACTTTTTTAAGTATAAATAAATATTTTTATTATATATTTTAGTAAGGACCTATACCCTAAACTTTAAATTATTAAAATATAGGTTTAACTTTATAAAGCAAAGTTTTTAAAAAGTAGTATTCTAAATACCTTATTATTTAATTAAAAGTTACTAGGTAGCATGGTAGCCCCGGTTTATAACTAGGTTAACTTATATATATATAAAGTTTTTAAAATTTACCTAGGTTAGATTATTTTTTTAAAGTTTAGCTTAACCTTTTTAATAATTATAAGTATTTTTTAAAGCTTTTTAAATAATAAATATAATTTTTTTATTATTTATTTAAAACCTTTTAGGGGTGCTATAAAAGTAATTTTTTAAATTTTTAAATTAAATTTTAAGCCTTATTATATATATATTTTTTTTAAAAACTTAACCTTTTTAAACTTAATTTTAGGCTTTTAAAAAGCCTTATTTTTTTTATAATAATAATTATAAGTTTTTATAATTTTATTTTACTTTTTTTATTTTAATATAGTGCCCTTTAAGTAGCTTTTTTATTATTATTATTACTTTTAAATTTTTTAAAACTAAACTTACTTATACTAGTACTAAGGTTTAATAATAAAATAGTTTTAAAATAATAGCTTAACTTATTATTTAAGCTTAACTTTAAACTAAAGCTAAAAGAATTACTAAAGTTAAATATTATTAAAGCTTAATATAAAAATTAACAAGATAATTAATATAAGGGTTACTAAAAAAACTAATATAAAGCCTAGTAAACTAATATTACTTTATTTTTAAGTTTTAAGGGTAACTTTTTTTTATTTTTTTTAAAATATTTTAATTTTAACACGTGGTATTAATTATAACATAGTTAAAAAATAAATAGCCCAGGTATAATAGCCTTAAACTATTTTTTTTAAAATAGCTTTAGTTATAATAATTTTTAGTTTAATAAGTTATAATAATAATATAAAATAATAGTGTAAAGGGTGTATTTTACCCTATGCCTTGCTAAGTAGGTAATTTAAATTATTTAAATTAGGTTTTTTTATTTAATTATTTTTAATAGTAATAAAATCCTTAAGTATAAGTAAAAAAAAACACTTTTTTAATTATTTAAGTTTAAATTTTAAAAATTTTAACTAAAATACCTGCAGACTACTTTTACTTATTTTTTAAAAATTTAATTTAGGATACTATTATTAAAAAAGTTTAAAAAATAATAAGTATAAATAACTTTAATTATAAGACTAATAAGTTTTAAATTTTTTTATTAATAATAAAAATATTAATAAAAAATTTAATTAATAAAAATAAAGTATTTTAAACCCTATTAAATAATATTAAAAAAGTTACTTAAAAATTTAAAAAAAAAACTAGTTTTAAGGCTATTTTTATAAACCTTTAAGTTATACTTAAACTATTTTTAATTAAAAAGTAAATATAGGTTTAAATATTTTATATATAAATTTTTACTTTAACTTATATTTAGGGTTTACCCTAGCCTTGCTTAACTAGTAGCTAAAACCTTAAATATTAATAACCTAGTTAAGTTATATAACCTAATATAATAGTAAGGTATACCAAGCCCTTAATAGCCTAAGGCCAAAGCTTAGGTTACCTAAGGTGCTAACTCTAAACTAATAGTAGATTAGCTCTGGTAATATTAAACAAAAAAAACATTGGCCCTGACAATAATAAGCTAAAATAAAATATATTTAGCTACTAATTACTAGTATTAATATTAATAGCTTTTAAAAAAATAATTAAAGAATACTTTAAAAATAATTAAAAAATTTTTTATATTTTATTATTAAAATTAGCTTCCTAGGCTTAATTACACTTTTAAAAATATTTTATTTTTATTTGTTAAAAAAGCCTAATTAATTTATAAAAACTTTTTTAATAACTATCTAAGGTAAAGGCGTTAGTACTAATAAATAAATAAGTATATTAATTATAAAATTATTAGGGGGATTATTAGTTAAAGCTATAATAAAGTAATTTAAAGTATTATAAGTTTTTTTTTAAAATATTAATAAAGTATAAAATAAAATTTTTAAAAAATATAAAATAAGCTAAAAATTTTAATAAAGCAAGCTTGGCTTGCTTACCTTAGCTTAATTAAGCTATGGTTAGCTATAAACAGGGTGGGCCAACCTGTATTTACTAACGCTATAGCGTCCCTTAGCTTCATGTTTCTTTAACCCATATTTCACCACCAACATCTTTCGTGGATTTGCAGTAATATTGAGTCCTATTAAGTTATGAAAGTGCAGGTTGAACAAGTTCCTTGTCCCCCCCACAAACACCGCTGTACATTATTCTGTCTGCTGATGCAAGCAAGGCACAGCATAGAAGCCAAATAACAAAGTGCGTTTTTAAACCTTGGTGTCATCGGCAATTAATGTAAATTGCCCACGGCAACAAAGGAGCCTGCACTAGCAACAAACAGGCCAAGCAATCTGGTAGTATTTAATAACACATCATTCCGCTGTTTCCAACTGTGACTCCCGGGAATATAGATCATCAGCCTGTTCTTGAAGTATACATTAGAAAGACACCAAATGATGTCCACACCACAGGCCTGATCCCAAGGCTCGGGGACAACAAGCAACTGATCTGAGCGGTGCACCATGGATCTGGAGTCAGGCTTCGCGATATTTGCTGTAAAGTTTGATACAGCCAGCTGTTCTCCAACATAGGGGTGGGATCCAACATATGTCTAACCGTCTGTGACCACCAAAATGACCAGTGTGACAGTTACAGTAAAACAAGGCTGTTAAATTAGCGCTTGGCATACTTTAAAGGGTCTAGCTCCTGTAGTATAAAAAAGCGCTAATTTTAATATAAAAGCTTATTAGCTGGGCTAGGCGCTTAATTATTAGTTAAAATTAACCCACTTTTAATCACGTGTATGTTGTTTCTAAGCGTCATAGGAAACATAAACATTTTGCTGTGTTGGTCACAGTCTGTTTTATGATGACATTTTACCATCCCTACTCCGACAATTGAATTCACGATCTCAAGAGCAGCCGGATGCTGTATCAACTCGCTGGGCACGGCGTCCATTTCCACGAGATAGAAAATGCGAAGTCTCGTCCAGCGCTGCCATGACATGAATAGTTCCGTCCAACATATCTGGTCCTCATTGGCCGCGTGCCAGAGTCGCTCGTACACATACTCGACTGGTTGGACGTCCAGGATGTTGGAGATAACGGCAAAAGCCGTCTTTGTGGAGATTCTCAATCGCGTATGTCATTTGGCCCGCGTCGATGCTGCGCGTAGAGACAGTCATGGCGATAGCAGTTTAAGGGGTATATAGGAGAACATGAGGGACCCAGAGAAACACATGGATATCAGCACCTCCCCCGGGTGACGGACGACCGCGGCTCTCTCCGCCTTCCCCCGTCTGTCCCGCGATACACATGCAAAGATATCATTGACAGGCCGCTATCGAAGTCGGTTGTGCAGGGGCGACAAACATCCCCAACGGATAGACAATGGTGTAGCCGCATTCCATCCTCAGTTATGATTGACAGCAAATCCCCGTCCTTCATGGCTACGAAGACAGGAATCTACCAGTCGGACGCTAGGTAACTATAATACAAAACTGGAATTCACGGGTATCTAGATGGTCAACCGATGATACACAGCGGAAGGTGTCTATAGCTTCGCCCGAGGTGCCGTCTCACCGGTTGGAGCCACCTCAACCATCAACTTCCCAGTGTTGACGCCAGCATAAAGATCAACAAGCCCCTTTGGCGCCGCCTCGAGGCCACCAGTGAGAATGTGATCCTTACGGGCAAGTTTTCCTTGGGCTAGCCAGGACAACAGTTCCTCACGAGCAGCATCATACTGACTGGTAAAATCGAAAACGATAAAGCCCTTCATTGTAACTCGTTGGGACTGACATCTGTTAGCGCTGGCATGGCAATCAAACGGAGGAAACTCACGATGACATTCATAACGCTGGCGGGCCCCTTTGGCTTTGAAGTATTGTACTGACTGATAGCACCGCACATCACGAAACGGGAGAAGGGGGCAGCCCGGGCAAGGCAAGCATCGAGAATCTCACCACCAACGTTGTCGAAGTAGACATTGATATACTCAGGAGTCGCCGCTTTCAGTTGCTTCCTCCAGTCGGCCGACTTGTAGTTGATCGCAACGTCGAATCCCAGCTCCTTCACCAGGAACTCGCACTTTTCAGAGGATCCAGCCAGGCCGATAACGCGCTTGGCTCCCTTGATCTTGGCAATCTGTCCCGCGACCATACCAGTCGCTCCGGCAGCCCCAGACACCACGACGGTGTCCCCGGCCTTGGGCTGTCCGATCTCAATCATCCCAAAGTAAGCCGTCAAGCCCGTCAAGCCAAGAACCGACAACGCGTCGGTAGGCCGACCACCCTTCGGGATTGCAATCTGTTCCACATCTCCCGCACCCAACAACGCGTATTCTTGCCATCCGGTGTATGCTGAAACCCAGTCCCCGACCTGGAACTTCGAGGTGAGGTCGCTGCCCACCGCCACCACCTGAGACATGCTCACGCCGCGCATAACCGCACCAATCTTGACGGGGGCAATGTAGGAGCGACTAGCAGAGAGCCATTGACGCATGGCCGGGTCGAGAGAGAGGTAGTGCACGCGCACGAGGACTTTATCGGCGGGGACATTGTCTGGACGGGGGACGGTACGAAGTTGAAAGGTGCCGGAGGCAAGAGAGGGATCGATCGCATCGGTGGGACGCTTGTGGAGGATAATCTGCCTGTTGGACATGTTAAAGATGAAGGGTCGCTGACGGGAAAAAGAGGGAAAGGAAACGATTACAAGAAGAAGCAGAGAAATGGCCCGAGGAAGAAGGCCGAGGTGACGGCTGCCAGATCTCTCTGAGTCTGTCCCCTGCCGAGGTTGACTCCATGGACAGCCAATTACATAAGCGGGCCATTACATCATCCACACAATCCGATTCCGAGTCCCCTCCCAGGCCAGGCCTCCAGCTTCTTCTTTCTCCGCCCAAACCGACGGATATGCAAAGCACCTCGCCCGTGACAGATCCCCTCGCTATCCTACCGCCAGAGCTGGTCCTCCGTGTGCTGGAGTTCGCCTCGCTCTCCACTGTTGCTTCTCTGACCGCTGTTTCCAAAGCCTGGCACCGATTCATCGAGCTCACACACCAAGACGCCATCTACTCCGTCCTTTTGAAAGCGTTCACCCCTCCCGGCCCCACCTTCTCGCGATGGTTCGACGATACCGTGTCTGCAAAGCGCCAATGCGAACGGCAGAGACTACTTGCATACAACTGGGCGGCCGACATACCGGTGACACGTGAGCGTGTATTACAAGTTGGGAACAATCCAGTGTGGCGCTTTCGGGCGGACCTGAAGCGTCGGTTTGTGGTGTCGACTTCTCATGCCGGCGGGCTCAACGTTACCGATATAGATTCAGGCGAAATCCTATGGCAACTGCCGTCCACTCTCGACACCGACAACGAGCACGCTGTTCGCCCGTATGCGCATCTAGAATATCAGGATGGGATGGTGGTATTCGACCGCGAAGGAGACGCGGTGGAAGTATGGCAAGCAGACGTGGACGATGCTCCACGCGGAGAATTTCGTCGCATTGCAGTCCTGGATCATGATTGTCAGACAAGAGGCTTTCAGCTCTCCTACTGGACGCTCTGCGTGGTGTCGACGCAGGGACAAGGCTTCGTGTACGACATGACCCAGCGACCTCCCACCTTGACAACCCATCTGACAATTGAAAACGATGCGGTTGGACATCTGGATCAGAGCCATGATGTCGTGATATACTCCATGGGCCCACAGGGCTACCATGTTCACAGCAAGGCATCTGGGGAGTTGCTCGGTGCGCTGCTTCCGTCGCAGTGCACAGAAACATATCATATCCGCCCGCCCAAGGCCGGTTCTCGTTCGGCGACCGAAAGGTTGATACACAGTCTCGCGACGCATGATATGCACGGTCCCAACGAGCCCATCGGCCGCCCATCCAATGACCACCTGGCGCCAATAAAACTGGGAAAGGGTCCTCTACCGCTGCCGGACGATCCGGAACATGTTCGGAACGTCGACGATGAATGGGGAGCGGGTATGCTTAGCAGCGATCTATTCGTTGGTGTTTCCCGTGCTGGTCGAGTATTCGTTTGTTCGAACTGGCGCAATGCAATCCACGGCCCTGCCAATCTTGCATCCTGCAGCGCCATCATCGAATGCGAGTCCGACGGTTCAACATTTGACCTAGGCGGTTGGTTGTCAGTGCGCAACCACCGGCTGATGTTCGAGGTACAAGACCGGGCCTACGTTGTCGCGCTGGATGACGATAACCGAATTCAGGACATTGACTGTCCAAGTCGCGCGTCATATTCTTTCCTTACCTGCTCAACGCCCCAGCTCGCCGTTCCCGTTAGTTTTATGGCATTGTTCGACGACGCCATTATGAGTACATACACTGTAAGTCGCTGCCCCGCGAACGCGGTACGCTGAAGTCTAAATCATGTAGACACTTGGTCGCCAACAGCCGCCCCCCAACCGTCCCGGCGCCCCGGACCCCGGTGACAACACAGGACCTATGCGCATCTTTCCCACCAAAACCATTCGCATTCTGAGTCTGACGCCTGATGGCACGCCGGCTCCAACCGGGCAAGCATCCCGTCTGCGGAACCCGGAATCGGAGAACTCTGATTCACCTGCGGCCGGACGAGAAGAGGACGTACGTTCTCGGGGTCTCATCCAGTTGCTCAGTATGCTTCGGGAAGAGTATGATGAAGATGAAGGCGTGGAGGATATAACTGGCGAAGATAGAGAGGGGGGGGCGGAGGAAGACGACGAAGAGTGGGAAGACCTGTCTGAAGACTCGGACCATCGTGTAGGTAACTAAGCCTGGTCCGCTAGCTTGGTATAGACCATCAGGCGACGATGCTGGTAGACTTCGCCCACCCGCACCGAGCGAACCGATGAGTAGACAATGCTATCCAGGTATTAGACCCAACTTACAAAACACGCATTTAACATAATAGATCGACAGATCCGACCTGTTGAGGTCGCCAGTGAGTTCCGTATAGCAAGCACAGCTGCCCCCGAACATAACAGTCAGACGGTCAAGCGACGCCGAACACCTCCTCATTCTGCCATTACATAAGTCAGGCGGTAGGCCGATCATCCCATAGCTTGATTGGCGAGAGCCTGAGGATACCATCAACGTTGACCATCACTCAGAGAGCTGGCCTTTCGTCTGTGATAGCATGACCAGTTCATCCAGATCCTGGACTTTTTCATTATGCACTATACCTTTCCGTCAAACCTGCAATCATCCGTTTGACGCATTCTCACACCCCACTCGGTCGATATTCGATGCTTTCCTTGAACTCTCCCTGCACGGGTGGGACGTCTCTATGCATTTTGGCTGGGGTCTTCCACCAGGTTGTCGTTTGACAAATCCTTCGTATGTCCATCCCCTATACCCCAAATCCACCATTCGACGAATTCCTTTTGATACGCCCCTATCGGACTTATACTGATCGACAACTCTCTGCTCTGCTGGCTGCCTAGGTGCTTCCAGCGCTTCCTGCGAACCTGCCCTGCCGAACAGCACTTGCCTCGGACATGCCTCGAACCTCTCTTTCCAAACCAACTCTAGAACCATCGCCGAAAACGACCGCGTTGGTGATCGGCAACACTTGCCACCTGTCCCTCGATTCCCTGACGGCCAACTTCGTGCTCCTGCCTTCGGTACAATCAGCCGGATCAGCTGGACACACGGCAGCAACACCAATCCCGCAATTTCAAGAACCATCCCAAGGGCAAACACAGCCTCATCCTTAGCAACACCAACACCATCATCTCCGTCCCACACCTAATAGTTAGATTAAGCACGAATTAGCGTCGGCAGTAGCCGCGGGTGTAGTTAATTTACTAGCATTAACAAAGAACAAAACTAGTCACCTAAACATAACACAAGGCACTATGTAAAAATAAAACCCTTTTATTAATTCTAACTTTAATAATATTATCTCTAATATTATAAATCATTCCAAGTGTTTAAAAAAATAGTATACCATGGCCAGGGCCCGGGGGCCGCAGCAGCTACTAGTTTTATCTAGTTAAGATAACCTAAAAAAAATGGTTTTTATTAAGGCCAACATGTATTTGAAGACTTAAAGTCTGCCTATTTTTAATATGCTTGTAAATTTCCCCCTTACACACACATTTTTCTAACTAGCTAATTTCTAGTCTACACAAATCCTCTCGCTGCTGGCCAAGACCACCTTCTTATCCAAGCCAGGATCTAAAATTACCCTGCATCAGGCGTATGCCACTACATAGTGCCTGTTTAAGCACACAAAGAATGTTTACTTAACCACTAAATTATTTTTATCACCGGCCGAGCTCAACCTTACTAATTCTTTTTAAATTTATATTATCTAAAAGGCGAACCTAACTTTATTTATCTTAAGTATCTTCAGCACTCAAGAGATTAGCTTTTCCAAGCTAAACAATAACTTTCTTAATATGTTTATATATAAAGGCAAATAACTTGTTAAATCGCATGGCGCTCTATTCCTTAACTTAAAAACCCAGGTATTTATCGCGTCTTTAAACAACCCTAACCATACTTGCACCAAGTTGCTGTACTCCCTCTTTCCTAATAACCTTAACTAACAGCTACTTAACAAACAGTCTGGAACTTGGTTGCTGTTTCTAACCAAAGCCAAATTTATTAACCACGCCCGCTCACGTCGCGAATTCCTGCTTAATAATATTAATAATAATAACGCTTTAAAAAGGCTCCTAAATAAATACCAATAAAAAGACTTCCTCCGGGCTCTCACCTTGTACATTAAAAATAATTTTAATGTTATTAACAACCACCAAGTTAGACTCTCCCCATGTGTTACATTTATAATAAGACTGCTAATACAGATTAGTTAAAAAACACCACATAAGAAATACAACCATCTTTACTAAATAGTAACTCTAAGCCACAAAGTACGCCTTTTTAAATAAAGTGTCCTGTCGCTGCCCAAGCGCCGGCAGTCCCAATTAACACAAACATTTACAATACTCTGGTGGCGCGTGCTGCTGGGATTGCACACATCGCGCTGCAGGCTTTTTCCCCAGGATGCTTATAGCAACAGCAACAGCAATAGTAACAGCAACTTTACAAGGCTTAATAAACTTAACAGGAACAACAACGCCTCCAAATTCTGCCATACTATACCCCCGCACAGTAACCATGTCACTAAATTAATCTATTTTTTTAGGGTGCCAACGGCCTTAAACTCATATCTTCTAGCTAAAAGACTACACCCCACCGCTGCTAATTCCCACCCCTAATCGCGGCTACATGCTTGGCATCCCCTATAACTCCTAATCTAAATCCATTTAAGCCCTTTATAAGCGCGCGCGGATGCTTAAATTAGCCAACCCTTCTCGTGCAAAGTACACATCTAATCCTCCTAAACAACGCCGTAAATAAACAGAAAATAAACTAGCAGCTCTAATAAAAGATCTTAACCAAGTTAACAGCCCTTATTAAAGTCAAATCCTTAAAATATTTAGCCCCGGCGGTACTATTAGTAAAGCCCTTAAAGACCAAAATGTTTTCCAGCTTAAAAATAAAGCCTGGCATCTAAAAAATAGTTATCTTAAAACCAAGAAAAAAGTTCCTAAATACTTGGAATTTATTACTAGGAAGCTCAAACTACCTGCCCCCGCGAAGGCTGCAAAACATAAGGCCCACGAACCCCTACAAAAAGCAACCAAAAAGACAAGGTGCATATTGAACAAATAAATGCCATGATGGATCTGGCGGGATCAAGAAATACGACGACAATGGCGGCAACGTCTGCCAGTTTATCGCCCCGGTCAATGGCGCGGATGGAAACTATACCATCCAAGGAAACAGCATCAACGCACATATACCCGGCCAGTATGGACCCCAACCCCGTGCAGAGTCAACTGTTCGATACTGACGTGCCGTGGCTGGGTAGTTCCGCCTACAGGTTTCGCGGTCACCGGTATACTGCGCGTTGTGAAGACGCACCGAATTTGCCCTACCCCAACATTATCACCCAAACCGACACTTTCCCCGTGGAAGACTACCGGCCGGAGTAGTTGTGTGGGAGAAATGAAAGAGCCAGGCTTTTACCGGAGCGCCTGATGTATTTGTGAACTTGGGTGGTTGTCTTTATGGTATCGCGCTATAGTCTAGGACGCCTTGGTATGGGTTTTGTTCCCAGATCGGATCTGGGTTCCCCATTCTGTTATGCGAATGCAGAGGCTCGCGTGAATCAATTGGGCCTTTTATTTCCGATTCCCGTGTGTCATGCGATCGTAGAGTCGAAGCTCTGTGGTTTGCGGGGAAATTGTTCGCTCTGGGGACGAGTCCGTGACTGTAACTCCTAGTCCGTTCGGGTCTCATTGGTCGTGCTGTCCGGTCCATGCAGGGGTCTCTCCATCTATCCCAGGGTGCAAGGGCTTATGGAGCGATGGAGTCTGCCTACTTATTCGTCGCGATACGTCCACTCGGAATGCAATCGTCGAATGCGCAACTCAACATCAACAGGAGACTGATATACCTCAATACACACAAAGACCATCGTAAGCGTTCTGAACCTACTCCCTCGATGAAATCCCTCCAGGTCCTCCTGGCCCTCCTATGGATCCCACTCGCAGCCCTGGCCGAGAAGGCCATCGTGGGCGGCTTCTAAGTCATCATCGAAAAATACCCATACCAAGCCTCCGTCCTAATCAATGGCGACTTCCACTGCGGCGCCGTCATCATTAGCCCTACCTACGTCCTTACCGCAGCCCACTGCGTCAACGGCGGTAAACTGTCGATTTTCTCCGTGCGCGTCGCCAGCCAGCAACGCATACAACACCGCCGGGGTCGTCATCAACGCCACGAATGTAACCGTGCACCCGGCATACATAGCAGGAAGGTTCGATCCCGACGTTGCTATCATGACGCTCGCCGATGAACTCGAGTACGGGGCCGGTATTGGGCAGGTGGAACTCCCCCTGCTTGGGTCGACGGCTCCTGATACCGGTGACGATGTCGTTGTATCCGGCTGGGGCCGTCTGACGGAGAGCGGTACCGCCTCGCAGACGCTGCAGCTGTCACTGTGCCTGTTATCGAGCAGACAAGGTGCGTCGACGCTTATAATGTTCACTCGGTGAAAGTTCGGGACAGCATGTTCTGCGCGGGCGTCCCGGAGGGCGGGAAGGACTCGTGCAAGGGCGATAGCGGTGGTCCGGCGGTTGTCGATGGCGTTCTTGTTGCCATTGTCTTGTGCGGGAAGGGGTGCGCGCTGGCGGCATATCCGGGGGTATACTCGCGCGTCTCGTCTTGGCGGGATTTTATCCGAAATGTTACTGGGGTTTAGACAGGTCCGATGGACATTTGCCGCGTGGGTTCGGCGTTCGTCGTAGTGTTCGCAAGGTGTGTGTTCGTAGCCTGGTTCGAGGGTGTTTGATTGTTGCTGTGCTTGTTCTGCTTGCTTTCTGGTGAGCAGAGGTAGAGAGGGATAATTTGCAGTACTTTAGGACTGCAATTTAAAAGTCAGTTGCGGGAATGACTGGGTTGGCAAATTTTGACTAAGCAAGCTCTGCCGTTTTTAATTAGCCGCCCCCTTTTAACTAATCCCATGAATAACCACTTAAAGCCAAAGTAATATCACGTGGACTACGTGTTTTTGCTTTAGATTAGCTTGCCTTTTTACACGTGACCCGCGACCCTTCTAATACTAGTTTGCTTTTAAATAGTTTAAAACTTACCACCATAACCCCGCTATCCGTACCTCCGCTATCTACACCTTTTTTTATAAAATTATTCTTATTAATAAACCTCTTTTGTAGTTATATTTACTAGATATACGC